ATCAACTTCTATGGTGTGTCTGGGGCCTCCTCTGATGAGCCCACCCACCAGCACAATGATGAGCTTCTCACCAGGATACTGGACTTTGCTGCCCAGTTTGTCCAGGACTTTCCCGTTGTTTTCGCCGGCGATTTCCAAGCGGACCCTCTGTCCTACGCTTCGCTTGCGGACGCTTGCAGCACGGGGGTTTGGGTCGACCCTTTAGCCCCTCTGGACTGTGATGGCACCCGTGCCCCTACCTTCTGCCGTGATAAGCACTGGACCCCTGAGGTCCCTACCACCGCTATTGATACGGTGTTTCTCAGTGAGCATGCGCTCCATCTCTTGGAGCAGGCCTGCGTTACCCCGCTCTGTGGCTACCAGCACGCCTCGGTCTCTCTTACTTTCTCTGCTCCCACTGAGACCCCACGTGCTGTCGCCTTTGCGTCCTTTGCCCCCTTGGACTTGACCGCCCTGGCTTCTCCTGCCCAGATAGCTCAATGCGCGGAGGACCTGTGGCAGCACAGCTACAGTCACGATCTCACAGAGGCCAGCAGCTCGGAGCAGGCCTGGGCCCTCTTCTCTGACTTTGCGTTACGTGTGCTGGTTGACTCTGGGGCCAAGTGGGGCAGGGGGATCCGCACTCGTGGAACCCTACCCCCTGTCCGGCCCAAGCGCTCCTTCGCACCCCATCACTCTTCACACACGTCTCCTGTCTCTTGCGCGGGAGCTCTTTTACCGCCTGGCTCGTCTGCCGGTCACTACTGTGCCTGATGCGGCTGTCACGTGTGCCACCATCCGGCGGTTCCGCCGGCTTGCGCGCGACCTTCGATTTCCTCTGACATCTGAGGATCTCACACCTGGCGGCACTGCCCACCTCTGTGAGAGAATTGAGCGCCGGCTCCAGGCAGTCACTCGTCAAAGGCAGCGCGCCTCCTACCACAGGTGGAAGGAGCGCCTCCGGCACTCCGCCCTGCATACTGGGAAGGCTGTGTTCCAACACCTCGCCAGGGCGGCAACCACGTCCTCTCCCAATCTCCTTGCCGGGCAGGATGGCCTGCCTGCCTACCATCCTGCGGATGCACTTGAGCATGCCGCCCAGCAGTGGAACACTGTCTTTGCTGTCCACGCTGAAGGTATTCCGGTCGAGCCGCTCATGAGGCCTATTCAACACCTGCTCGAGCAACGGGCTACGCCCCTTGACCTTCCGGCAGTCACGCCGGAGGATCTGGCTCGCTCCATCTGCGCTCGGAGTGTTGACTCCTCTGCTGGCCTTGACGGTTGGTCCGCGCGGGAGCTCCAGGCTCTCCCGCTTCAGGTGCTGCAGGTCCTTGCCACGCTGTTCAACAAGGTTGAGGCGGGTTTGTGGGCTATGCCCCGTATCTTTGGCACGGCCAGACTGGCGGTGCTTGACAAAGGAGCGGGCCCCAGCCCCCTATCCAAGCGACTCATCGCTGTCCTTCCTATCTCCTACCTTGCATGGTCCTCGGCCAGGTTCCGTGCTTCTTCTGCGTGGCAACGTCTTGTGCTCCCCGCTGAAGTCTGTGGCGGTGTCAGTGGTCGTCGGGTGGATGACATCACCCACCACCTGGCACTTGACCTTCATGAGGCCAAGGCGACCAATGAGGTCTTTGCAGGCATCCAGATCGACCGCTCCAAGTGCTTCGACCGCTTGCTCCCCAGCCACACTGTTGCTCTCCTTGTGGCCTTGGGCTTCCCAGCCTCTGTGGCCAATGCGTGGGTGGCGCTCCAACTACTGCGACTTCAGGCGCTATCTCTCCTGGCGGGGAGCCATCCACCCTACCCCCTTGGCCAACTGCAATGGCATTGCTCAGGGCTGTTCCCTCTCGGTCCTGGCTGCGAACGTCTTGATGGCGGCTTGGGCCCTTCTCATCCGGCACTTCCCGGGGGTTGAACCCCGAGTTTATGTTGATGACGGCTACATGTCTGTCTCCTCGCCTGATGCTATCCCCTCCCTGGTGGAGGCCGTCCGGGCTACGTCCCTTTTTGACGGCCTTTCGGGCCAGCTTTTCAACCTCCACAAGTCTGGTTGGTGGACTACTCATGAGTCACCGGCTTCGCAGCTCCAGGCTGCCCTCCCCGGTGCACCGCGCCTGCGCTCTCTGCGGCCACTCGGCGTATGCATCAATTTGGACTTGCGTGGCACTAAGGATGCCCGGGCTCCTGCTGTTGCTCGGTTCCGAGCCGCCCTCAGGGCCATCCGGGTGTTGCCCCTCTCCCCCTTTGCTAAAGCCACCTTTGTTGCTCGCAAGGCCATGCCCATGCTTACCTACTCTGCGGAACTCAATTTTGTCCCCCGTGCGCTCCTGTCCTCCTTGGCCACTGAGGTCGCTGGGGTCCTGTGGGATGGTCGACCTGGCTGGCGTTCCCGTGAGTTGCTTCTTGCGGTCGTCCATCGGGGTCATCTGGTACACCCTGAGTACGCCATGGCGTACCGCGCCGTACTCAATGTGGCCTCCCACCTCCAGCGCTCGGAGAAGTTCGCCATCCAGTGGCGCATCGCCTTTACCAATCCCAGGATTATGCCTTCCACGCTGGTTTCCAATGTGATTGCCGCGGTCACTCTGTGCGGCTTGCGCTTTCGGGCGCCTGCAGACGTTGCCCTTGCTTCGGGACCATGGATGTCCCTCTTCAGTGTCTCCCTTCGCTCCCTGGCAAGGCTTCTGCAGTGGACCATTGCGCAGCATGCTTACCAGCGTGCCTGCCGTGGCAAGCGTGCAGATATCGTCTCGGGGCCGTCCGGCTTCCTTGATGTTGCACTCACTCGATCTCCGTGGCTTGTCCCGCCTGGCCCAGGTTGGAGCTCCTTTGTCCGGGCTTTCCCTTCCAACCGTGCGGTGGCCCCTGCTGTTGTTGTCGGCTCTGCAGCCACTGCGGATCGGCTATATGCCTCCAACCTGGCTGCGTCTCCTGGCTGTCGCTTCTGTGATGGTGCTGATGAGACGCTTGCCCACCTTGTGCAGTGCGGTGCTCTCCATGCTCGCATCGGCTCGCCACCTGCCCAGCGTGAGGACCAGGGCCCTTCTTTCTACACTCATGCCCTGGCTGAAATCCCTGCGGACCTTGCTCACGCCGCCCTCCGGGCAGTCCCCTGGCCTTCTACCACCCCGCTACCTAGGTACGGTGGTGGGGATGTCCACCTGTGGACTGATGGCAGTGTCTACTTGCCCCACCACTTACTCTTCGCTGCTGCCGGCTTTGCTGTTGTGAGTGCCTCTGCTGGCGTGTGTGCTTCCGGCCCTGTCCCGGGCCCCCTGGCGGACAACTACCGTGCTGAGGTCTACGCTATCCTGCATGCCGCCCAGCTTGCTCGCGGTCGGCTCACGGTTCACACCGACTCCCAAGCCGCCGTCAGTGCTTGGCAGGGTTTTCACTTGAGGGGGTGCGTCCCTCTCAATGCTGCAGCGGCTGACCTTTGGTTGCCCCTCTGGGACTTGGTCAGTCTGCGTGCCGCCTCCGGGTTTACTCTGACCCTCCACTGGATTCGGGGCCATCTGCCCCTCAACCAGTGCCCTGGCTCGGTTGAGCTCCTGCATGCGCGTTGTAATCATGCGGCTGACCGTGCTGCTAAGCGCGCTGCCCGCGCTTCCCTTGCCCTGCCTGTCTCTCGCATGTCTGCCCTGTTCTTCTCTGCCTACAGGCGCCACCAGCAGCTTTTCCTTGTCTTGGCGGCCACCCCTGTTCCTCCTCCGCCCCCGGAGCCCCCTGATCCCGTGGTGCCCCCCCCTGAGGCCCCCGTTGCCCTAGGGTTAGGTGTAGAGACTGAGCCTTGCCATGGCTCGCCTGTGCTGCAAGTGGAGACACTCCTCACCAAGCCGCGGGACTGGACCCATGGTTCGCTGCAGTGGTGGGCCTGGAACAAGGCCTTGAGCTCCGCGATGTGGATCGCTCGCGGTGGGGGCTTCCAGCCTGGTTTGGAGGCTGCACTGCTCTTTTGGCGGCGCAGCCCGGGCATTGTCAGGTATGCTGGCGGTGCGGCCACTGCCCGTGGCCTCTTGGTGCACTTCAAGGCCGTGAGGAAGTGCATCACCCGGCGCAACCCGGATGCCTTCCCCCGCGGTTGGGAGCCGCGGCTGGGCCGCTATGCTGGGGTCACCTGGCCGCGTGGCTCTACCTCCAGCGCACCGATGCGGAGCACAAGTGGCTTCAGCGGGTCCTACTCCGGGCCTCCCGCCTCGGCAGAGTACCCAGAGACTGGGAATTCTCGCTGGGCGCTGTGGCGTGATGGGGGCTTCCTGCCCTACGCTTCGCGTGCTGGGGCCTCTTCGTGACCCCGGCCTACAAGTCAGCTTTTCCGGAACTTTGTGCACGCCCCGCTCCCCAGGTACCCCTTCCGGGGGTGGCTGGTGGGCCGGGCCTCGACTTTGAGATGTGTCCACCAGTGGACAGGGGGTCCCACCCCCTTTCCACTGGTGGTTGGCCTGCGGTTTCACACCCCCAGTTGAGTCTCTCCTGGGGGTCTGTGTGCGGGGCTCCTGCCCCACTTTTCACCGGTAGTAGGGCGGCATGCCCTACGACCCACGCACGACAGACATTCGTGCGTCACGAGCCAAAAGGCTACCCTTATTCTAGCCTCTCTACTGGAGGACCTAGATGGCTTTAGTGGCAACGGACAAGGTTTGGATACCTTGTTTTGGGCCAAGTCGCTGGATCGGAAGCGAGTGGCAGGCTCCTTGCAGACGGACCAAATCCATGTCGCACCAGTTGGGATGTATGGTTTATCCAATTGTGTTCATAGGGTTTCATCCTTCCAGCTGGTGCGAGAATGGGCTTTTGCAACCATCCACATGTCCTTTCTTTTCTTCGTTTCCTCGTTTCCGAGGTGAGATCCAAAGGAATGAATGGTTTCAGCCATTCCAACTGGCGCCACATGAGCTTTTGCAACCATCCATATGGTGTTTCCCCTTTTGCTTCCTCGTTTCCCAGGTAAGATCCAATTGGGGCCCACCCAATTGGTCGAAGTTGACGAGGCATCCATCCGCGCAAAAAAAATCAGCGAGGCACAGCAGGTGAAGGACCGGGGAGGCCACATCCGGGCCGGCGGCAAGCGGGCCTGGAGCCCAGCAAAAGAGCGAGGCAGCGTACAAATATTAATATATATATATATATATGTACATATGCATATGATATCTATATAATATGTATATATATATATACACATATACATGGATAGTGCATATACATATAGTATATGTATACATATATGTATATTGTACATCACATGTGTGTACAAATGGGATTGCGGAATATGCATATGTACATTGACAGTCTACATCAGGGCCGATTTCATAGCATGCTCTGGCTAGTTTAATTGGATAAGTCCAAAGCGTTCATGTTGGCCAGTAGCTTCACATCTGGGAACACGACAGGCACTTGCCCACCCTAATGAGCTTCAACGTGTGCATGCTTGGCTATTCAATCCACTGGATAGTTCATACAGCTCGACCCGTGCATTGTTATAAGCTGCAACTGCTGGGGGCTAGCTGCCTTAGCTAGCTGCTGGGTGCGCCCAACAACTCAATCGTCTTGGGACTTGCGTCTAGGTCTGTACTTGGAAGATTTTGGTGAAGGCTAGGGGACAGCTAGTCTGGAAAGTAGTTTGGATGCGCTTTTTGTGGATGTCACCGGGTCTTTTTGGTTGTTGGCCCTTTTTTGTGATCTTTTAGTACTCTTCCAATTTCCTGCAGGGGTGGATCCCCAGATTTGCCACGCAGGGGTTGATCAACAGGTCCTTTTCATGGGATGACCTTCCGGGAACACCAGTAAACATATGATATGTTCCACATGGGACAAGTTAGAAATGGTCATTTGGGGGCCAGGAGTATTCATCAACCCCCTATGTGTCAAAATAGGGCTGCCAAACAAGTTGTTTTGTTGTTGTTGTTCGTCCTTTGGAAGTCCATTGGTAGTTCATAGTTCCATGTTTCCGTTTGCGGAGCTATTCTAAGGGTTGATTCCCCATTCTTTCCAACCATCGTTCTTTTCGAAAACCGGATCCGTTTCCCCGGGTTTCCGGAGGTTTTATAGAAAGATCCGGATGCCTGGAAAGAATGGAATTGGAAGGTACCCCTAGAATGTAACTTGGAGCCGACCAGATCTGGAATTGTCAGGTTTTATTGATGGGAGCTGTGAGCTTGACTTTAGCAGATGTTCATTTGGGTACTAGGTCGCCTAGAGCTATGGAAGGTACCCCTAGAGCTCTGGTCTCACGTCGCACGGCGCCGCGGAAGCTAAGGCCCGGGTGATTTGCGAGGCCGTGCCCGGGCATCCTGGCTTCGCGCTCCTTGACCTGGAGGAAGAGCACCTAAAAGTTGGGGCGCCTTTTAGCGGGGGATATGGGGCACCTGTTGTGCATGCGTTTTCTGTATTTTTTCTTCTTTGTCTCTTTCTTTTATTTATGTATTTGTTTATTTTTCGGGGGCGGTGGGGGGGGGGGCTGGAGGGGGGGGAAGCATATGTTTTTTGTGTTTGTTGTTTTCTTCTTTTTTTCGGAGGGTTGGTCCGCTTTGGGAGGGATCCATATCACTTTTCAGGGAGTTGGGGGCCCCCGACACTCTGCTAGATGGTATTTGAAACCAAATACATATGTAAAGGCACCCCTTTTCCTCTCCCTGGGGCAGTAGGGATGGTCATCAATCATCAATCTTCAGTAGGGAGGGATGGTCATCAAACTTCAAGATTCCTTGGGCCAGTTTAGGAGAAGCTTGATAGACATCAAACTGAACTTGATCTACTTATGTCTAACATGTGACTGCAACTCAACATGGAACCAAACAAGGTCCCTAAACAAAGAACGCCCCCCCCCCCCTCCCGATTTTGGGGCTTCCTCTAAAACTTGCTGGTGCTCAGCAGGGAATGGGAATTGGAACGACCCTTATAAGCCATGCAACTGGTAGTTTCCTTTAAGGGGACCAAAGCCTGGGTTCACATTCCCTAGCTCTCGCACCAGCAGGAAAAGGGCAGTTTGAAAGGGCCAACTGAAGCCGTCAAACTTATGATTCCCCAACACGCCCATCCCCGGCTTCTAAAGTTGGCTGCTGCTCAACAAGTTTCAATGGCCACAGACCTGGCCGAGAATGAGTGGTATATTACCAAGCTATGCTTCCCCAGGGTCCCGCACCAAAACCCCCCCCTTCCTCCCCCTCCCGTTTGGGGCTTCCTCTGACCAAAAGCCATTTGGGGCTTCCTCTTCATTGCTTTGGGGGGCTTGATGCTCCATGTTGACCTTTGGTCTCAGGCTCACTCGTTCCCTTGGCCTTGCGCTGGGCCAGAATTGCGGCATTCTGGCGGAGCCCCAGGCGCGAAAAAAGCCGCACTTGACCAACGCTCCCAGACACCCAGCTCCTTTTTTTGTTTTGCTTTTCGATGGCTTCTAACTGCCCGTAAAAAGTAGGGTTAGTTTGATTAGAAACAGATGGGTTCCACTGGTTAGCTCCACAGGTGTCCTTTTGATCAGCTAGTTTGATCAGAATTAGATGGGTTTTAATCAAACTGACTTATCAAATTGGTTCAGATGGAACCCACCTATTTCACTATTTGGATGCCACAAAATTTCCACGCATTTAGATAGGTTCCACTGGTTCAGATGGGCTCTATGAGCCATGTACCAGGAAAACCCATCTACTTTTTCCAAGAGAACACCTATGCGCTGCTTCTTTTTCGATGGCTTCAAACTGCCCGTAAAAAGTTGGTTATTGCCCCATATACAGCTTTGAAGTCCTTAGATTCTATGGGTAGTTTGACTTCCGGTTGCTGAAATGCCATGGCTTCCCGAATCCTTTTTGGTGGATTCTTCAAGGAAACAAGTTTCCATGCAAGTGGGATCTTTTTGTTTGGGCGGACCCCCATTTTGTCTTTTTTAGTCTGGTCTGGTTGGTTTCAACGGGAATCAATTTCACTACTGGACATATGTTTTTGTTGTTCCACGCGGCTTGAGCGAATGGACGTTTCCTTGAAATTCAACTGGCAAGACAGGATGCGGGTGTTTTTTTGAAGGGGCCGTCCGGTTTCCCTGTAAATGAACAAGCGACAAGAGGGTGGTGCATTGTCAGGTGATCCTCTCAGTGAAGGATTTCCCAACCCTATGAATCAACTAGGGGTTGATCAATCGTTATTCAATGGGTGTCATTCACGATTTCCCCTTTTTGTTTGGTTCACTATCACTCAAATCCAAAAGAAAACACAGGGTGAGGGTGACGGGTACACTAACGGAGCAGTTTGAGACCTCGTGGAACATCCTGCGAGCCTTTTCTTAGCCATACTACGATGGCGCTTAGTTCATGTTTAAACAATGCGAACCAAGAAAGAAATCGCATGCCAAACTTTGCTACTGAACAGCCATCGTGTCGGCAACTCACAGTGACCTCACAATGGGGGTTGTGACATCGTCCCCTCTTTCAGGTCGGTGCTTGTTTTTTTTTTTTTTTTTTTCTCCAGACTAGATTATGTTGAACTGGTTTAACTTGAACGTCAACAAGGGAAGACAACAATACAACACACCCGCTATGATTGCCGGCTGGACCAGGCGACTAAACTTCCCGGATTTCTTTGATCGATGACCCATATCCAACTGTTCCCCGCGATCTGAATAGGCAATCCATGTTCTTTTTACAACTGGCTGGTCTGGACGAGCTTGCAGTTTGCGGCTGAAAGCTTCCAGCCTAAGTCCCAGCTTGGCAAGCCATGCACCTCACAATGACCTTCAAGCGACGCTCAAAAAAAAGACTTTGTCTTGCTGACTTAAAGGGACGTTTAAAGGAACATCACTGCGTTTGGGGTCCCCCGATTCTCACACCTGCCCGAGTCTGGGCTTTCTTGTCCATCCGGCGTCGCGAGATTACCGCGCACCATCTTCCAGCTGATGCGGAAGCGATTCTGGTCTTAGGTGAGCCACTCGGAGAGCCGGCGCCCGCTCGCAACCCCAACAGCCATGACTAGAGGAGACTTTGCAAGGATCCGCTATTGGACTTCTGGATAGGTCCCTCAAACTCCCAAAATGTGGGTGACACAGCCATGTGGTGTATTTCTTGCGGCCCTTTTTAGGATTGGAAGGCCAACAGGAACTCTCTCATGTCTCCTTCTTGGGTGGGGTCTCCGAGGAATGGACGCACAAACCCGTGGGTGTGACTTTTTTTGAGATCCCCAAATGGCGCCACGGTGTTCCTTGTGGTTTCCCTTTACCCAAGCCAAAAGGCGGCACCCTCAAAAAGGAGGAGCTACCCATGTTGGAATGTTGTAAGACAAAATGAGAAAGGCTATGGCCACATGACTATAATTTAGCAGGTTGTTTGACGAACATAGAATCGACCGGGTCATACATCCAAAGCGACTCCGCCTTTTGACCAAGTTGGGTCCCAGTTTCATGCACTGACGGCAAGCAGACACCAAAATAATTTGTCCCTTCCATTTGCTTGTATTTGTTTTAAGCTTCCTGGATTTTGAAGTCAACTTGTCAAGACAGGTCACGCGTTCTTTTTAGTGGCTCCTTAGGCAAATGGTAGTTCTCCAAGCATGTGACAGTATTTTGCGCATGTTCAAGTGCGTAGGACTTTGAACTGCAGAAGACGGGGTCGCAACCGACACGGAATTGATTTGTTTTACCTAGGTCCCTGGGAGGGTTCGGGACCCTACTAAAATAGACAAAAAATAAGAAGTGGGTACCAACTTATTCTAAGCTCTCTTAGGTGTCCTCTTAGGTTGGTCTGGTTAGTAGATTGGTTCCACTAACATAAATCCGTTTTAGTCAAATCTGGAGTCTGGAAGACCTAGGTGAGTTTGTTTGGGGTGACGCTAAAAAGTCAGCTGCTTAATAAAGGAAATCTATTGGAGGACCTTACCTTTTTCAAAGACCCAAAAGGCAGCCTCGAGGAGACAACCGATTTGAGTTGAAAGACCCAGACTGGAGACCCGGGAGTCAGCGAACGAGCGAGAAGTGAGACCGAGCATTTGTCAGGTACTGATGGCGTCTTCGAGTTCTGCGGCAGTGATCCTGGCATGCTTAAGCATTGGATGCTCATGGAAACACTGCGGTTCTTCAAATGCCTGTGCTGGTCATTTGACCGTTTTGGGATCCCGTTTTGGTTGGTAGGTGAATTCACCACCCATTTTAGAACCTATCTTAGTGGGCATTGGGATGTTCACTGGAACCTAACCGATTTGGATTTGGACCCATGGCCAAATGACGGAGTCCTTGGATTTCAATGTTGGATGTCAAACCTAGCAGACTCAGATGAGCGGCAAATCTGCATTGAGACCATGTCCAACAGAAAGAAAAATAATAAAAACGCGGCCGGCCGTATTTGTGCGTTTTGTGCTCCTGCATTTTGTCAGACCGCACCATTGCCGGGCACCTGCTGAAGCACGGAGTCACTGAAAGAGCTCTCGAAGAGGCCTGGGACGACACAGTTTTGTGCCCATGGTGCTTTAAGTGGAAGAAATTCAGCAAATGTCTTCGGGCTCCTTCATTTGGGTACCAGTCTTAGGGGCGTCGGTGTAGGCTTCACACCATGACACCCAAGTCACCGTTGACTCGTTTTCACCACACCTCGCCCAAAAAATGGTTGGCTTCGCTGTTCGGGTCACGCCATCCAGGTGGTGCACGAGTCCATGAAGCTTTGGTCGGTGAATTCCTCCAACAGTACCGTTGCGCCTTGGCTCGGATCGCTGACCGCGAGACCGTCAGAGCGTCAGACCGGCGGAAATTTTCGCTCGCCGGAGCGCAAGTGCCAAAGGCGGCTTTGGACGTAGGGTGATCTGAACTGGCGCATGGCCCCGGTTCTTCGCTTCCTGAGTTCATGGACTTGGTACTTTTTCTGGACTATCCACTCAGGAGAGTTTTAGGACCAGACTGGGAGAAACCGAACCTAATGTAGTTCCTGCAAGGGTTCCATATGACAGTTGAGCGGCTACGTTTGACCATGAACATCTCCCATTTTGTGAAGCCGCTCGGAGTACCCGCTTGGGATAAGATGGAGCGCCATTTGTATGAAAGCTTGGTGTAAACCGCCTTATGTTGGCTTGCTTTGGGTTCCCCTTGACTTTGTTTCAGCGTGTTTGGATTTGTCAGCCCTTTTGGTTCAGACCTGTTTGAAGGGTTCGCATAATTATTGTTTGTGGTTTATGCAGTTTTCCCTCCAGCAAAGCAGACGGGATGGGAAGTCGAAGCTTTGGTGCATTTTGCTTGGATGTTAGGACTTTAGCTTTTTTTGCCAGCGAATGCGTTTTCCATAAAACCACTAAAAGTTGAACTTTTCACGGGGGAGCAGAAAGCAACCAAGGAAATGCTTGCTGATTTTTCAGACTTTTTTTTGGCTGGGATGGGCAGTAAGTATGCTTTTATGACCCCAGTTTGGGTCCATGGTGGTTCTTTCTCGCAGCACCGAAACCTATAGGGCTTTCTGGTCTTCCTCCGTGGTATGAAACGGAGCAACCTCGCTCCCATGGTAGCAAGGCAGCAAAACACAGTTGCCTCATGGCGCAGGCTCGGGGCATCCAGTCAATTTTGTTTCCGGGTTGAACTGTTTCTTTAGATTGGTTTGATTTGTTGTGCTTCGTGTGTGTGTGTGATTGTTTGTTTCGCGTGCTTGCTTGCTTGTTTCGCGTGCTCGCTTGCTTGCTTGCTTGCTTGCTTGCTTGCTTGCTTCCTTCCTTCCGAGTTTGTTTGGGCGACCCAGGATGACGCCACAGCCATCGCAGCTTCCCTGGGGCGCCTAGCTCGCGCGCCCCGGGCCAGCTCAAAGTAGCACAACCATCGCCGGCCTTGAACTCGACACGCACATCCGAACAGAAGGGCTTTTCAAAGAGGAGGGCCAGGTCTTTCTAGCCAAGACGAAAAACCAAACAATAAATCCCAAAACAAGACAAGACACAAATCCCAGAGTGTATCTCGACCCTTTCAATGAAGCTTGTGCTTCTTGTGCTTCTTGTTTGTCGTTGATGAAGCGGGTGAACCAACTTGAGAAACTCTGTTTGGAACCACTCAAGGGTTCCTGCCAACCCTGAAGCCTAAGGGGCAACAAGGACAGGGAACCTAAAGTGAGCTGAAATACTTTGAAGGAGGTCCCAGAAAGGATGGACAATTGGAAAAGCATTGTTTACCAGCTCATTTAGAGGCTGTTCTTGAACAGCAGCCGGTATTGGATGTATCGTTCAGGGAGCTCTGTTGAATGTAAGGCATGTTTTGTCCTCAGGATTCCAATGCCAGGCAAAGTCGACCATTGAGTCTCCAAGCAAACTTGAACAAGAGCGAGTCATGACAGAGGAGCTATCAATTACAACTTGGATTTTGACAGGGTCTTGTCGATTCGAGGTAGAGCCAGAGGAAGTTGACTCCCTCTTTGACATCGGCCCCTTGACGTTTAGCTGCCATTTGGGGATTCAATTGGCACGGAAGCAGCACGCCTTTGACACCATAGGAAGAATGGAACCCCGCAGGCTCAAACAGTGACAGATGCATTGACTGTGGCGGTTCAAGGCAGCTGGAATCGCCTTGCACGATGCCTTTCGGGTTGCTGACTAAAAATGGAAAACTCACCAGGCTTGCCCCTGTTTGCTCCTTTTCTTGAGAGGCTTGGGCCCTGAACCACATGAACAATCCCCCACGTTTTTGTGTTTTGCCCTCGACCCCGTCGCAGCGGCAACCATAGCACTGTCTAAGGGCCAAAGCTCAGCTTTGCTTTTGAAGATCCCCGAGACCAACAGTAGCCTTGTTTGTGGCTTAAGGGTGTTTTTACCCCTTAAAAACACAACTTTTCAACTTTTTGGGGGCAACATGGGCTATATGTCTGTAAAAGATTCACTTCCCCAGGGCAAAAGGAGTTTTAAGGGGTAAGTGTTTGAAGATCCCCCAGACCAACACTTGCACATTCGACCCAGAGCAGGTTCTAGCCATGTGGCTTAAGGCTGGTTCTCTTTCCTTGGGGCCGGGAAGCTCTGACTTCTCATTAATTTTCCATTCGGGCGTGTCTTAAAATGGGGAACCCCTGTGTTGGTGTTCCTGTGAAGTTCCCTATAAATTCCACCCAAAACACACCCATGTGTTTAAGAATATGTTTATGTCTGCTGGTTGTAGTGGGAATCTATCACTTGACATATGTTTGTGATTTTCCAGGGGACGTAAGCAAATGGAGGTTTTGGATATTTTCCATGTCCGACTTCTACGGTACCTGGCTGTGAAGCGGTATCACAGCAGTGGTCATTTCACACAACCCCATTTCTCAGTCATTCCGATTATTCCAACACATTAATCATGTAGTAACGTTTCTCAGCAAACCGCAGCAACAAATGCCAGCGACCGCAGCTCGGAGGAATCCAAGTTTGCCGTCGAAAGTGGTGCCAGCAATGACAGGTATCGTGCATGCTGGCCCGGTGTACTCCACGTACATGTGTAAATGCAAGCTCAAGCACGTGAGTTGGCTGGGGTGATGGCGAGGATTTCAGCAGCGGCTGAGGATTTGGCTTGGCAGAAGGCAACTTCCATGTTAGATTGCAAAGCTGTGTTGAACTCGCGGCGCTTGGCCGCCTTATGGGAGCGTGTTGGTTTCGCATGCTTCTGTCCTGTGCCATCAACCCCATGCCGAAGCATCGCTCGGTCGAATGCCTGCAGAAGAAAAAGAAAGAGAGCAGGGGCACCGCAATACGCGCATGGCATGCTAGTTCGAGCTTTCCCGGGAACCCGGGATGCACTCGATCCAAAAACCTGCCCCACAAAGGCCTCTTCATGATCATGCCTCAAAACCAAATGGCTTGGTCCCCAGCTTGGGTCGGTAAAACTGCCCTTTGCAGACACCTGATCGATGGGTCGGCGTGATTTCCGATACGCCTAAGCCTGAGCCCACTGCTTGTTTTTGCCAGCCTCAATGAGGCTATGGCCGGTGTGGAACAAAGTTATCTTTTCTGGGTGCATGGTCAATGAGATCCGACTTGCCCTCGCAACTTGGCAGATACTTGCTCAAAGTTCGAGGCTTGAGGAAGAATTCTTGGCCAGCGTGACTGGTCAAAGTATGTTTTACATAAACCCAGATGCCAATTTGCAGCATTATGCACACCAAGATGCTTGCAACTCTTTGCGGCTGAGGCCCATTGCGCTAGCACAGAGTCAAGTTCAACTTCAGCCAGACTTTGGGTATCAAACTTGCAGATTTGGCTGGCATATGGGCAAACGGTAGGACGGCCGCTTTTCCAAGCCACGAGGTTCCCAAGCAGCCAGACAGCCGGAAACAGCAAGCCTAGGTCCCCCAGTGCCCTTTCTCACCCTCTTTGGAGGGAGGGTTCCCCAACTAAGATAGACAAAAAAAGAAGAATTGGTACCAACTTATTCTAACCTCTCAAATCTGGAGGACCTAGAAGCAGGATCTCAGCCACGTTGCTCTGGACGAAATGCGTCACCTGCGCAACCTTCGCCCATGCTTGGCCCGGCGACTGGGCTTCGGAAGTGACATTTGAAAACTATCTTCCTCACTTCCTGCTTCCATTTGCTTAAATCAATATTTTTGCTTCTTTTCCCCTTTTGGTTTTAAAGGGAATCTATCACTACTGGAATTATGTTTTATTTTTATTTTTCCCCGGGGCTTAAGCAAATGGAGGTTACTTCCTGAGTTCCTGGACTTTTATGAACAACTTCTTGGGAACACCCCTGGACTTGTTGATACTTTTTGGGAAGACCAGTTTTGTGGTAGATAAACATGCAGTTTGAACTTTTGGGAAGGCCAGTTTAGTGGTAGATTCACCTTTTGAACGTGTGTGGTCAATCCACTCAGGAAGTGAGCTTTAGGGTTGTTCGAAAGTGAAACTTTGTAAGCTCTTTAGGGCAAAACCTACCATGTTGATGCAGCAGTGAAGCCAAAGTAAAAACCATGAACCCTCTTTGGAGACGAGATCAGACTGGGACATCTTCCCTGCCCAAAGCGAAGAGCCATTGACCTTTTGGCTTCATGGTCCAGGCGTACCTGTCCGCACCGTTTGGCTGGAGTTCAAGTGTGTGTGTTGGCGAGGTGTGCGGATTCAACCCGCCGCAAGTGTCCAGGTTTATGTTTACTCAGGCGTGCCTACGAGTTGCACTGGCCAACGTCCGAGTTCTGCAACATCCGGAACCCCAAGAGTGTGTGAAGAGGATTTGGGTTGCAGAAGCGTGAGGAAGCAGTGCCCACTCCTGGGTTCCTAGACCCAAGCACGAGCGTCAGGCTTACAGCCAGTGCGGCGAGTCAAGAAGGCCGGGAAGTTGGGAAAGCGGTTGGCTCCTGCGATATGGCCATGAATTATAGTAGGGAAACCACCTCAAAAGTGGTGGGTGGACAAGAGAGAATCCCCACCCAAATGATGTCCACCAAAGGGTTCCCAATTCAAATTCATGCCCATATGGTTCTCACAGGGATCAGGGATCCACTAAAGTGGTTGAACTTGTTTTGAGCTTTGGGCCATTGTCTTTCATTCTGTTTCTATTTCCCCTCCAACCAAGAAGGCACGAACTCGTCAAGCACGTGTTGCACACATTCAAATTCTAGTGTAGGCCCTTTTGTTGCATGGCTTTGGTCTCTGTTGACACAGGTGCCCTTTCAAGATATCGATCAAGGTGTTTAAACAAAACCAACCGAAAGTGAAAAATAAATGGCAACCCGGGCACCAAGCAGCTGCTCTCTGCGGCAGAAGCAACTTCTTAGCTGTTGAGTACCACAAGACTAAGCCATGACTAAGCCAAGGGATAAATCGAGCTTCCATCGAGAGCCTTTGCTGAAGGGGCTTGGGGCTCGCGCGCTTGTCAGGTGCTCCCCGCAAACTGCTTGGGGTCAGCAAGAGCCTGAGTGTGCCGGAGCTTGCAGGAGACATGTTTGAGAGTCGTGCACGTTTTGCCGCTTGAATCTGAGAAGCAAGCAATTTCAATCGAAGCATGAGCCAAAACCCAGGTATTTGAAATGGTAGTTGGCTCACTTGCAGTCGAAACTATGCGGCTTATTTAATGGAAGGGTTGAGGGTTGGGGAGAGGCGTCGCGTTTCGCGATGTGCGTAACGGACACGATTCACTCCAGATCATGTTGATGATTCTGTTATAGCTGTGCGAGGTTGTGCCAGTTCAGTACAGCTGGCCGGAGAATGTTGCCACGCCTAATGTCTACCTCGCTCAGGTAGTGTCCGGTGTGCGACTTTATCCTAAATGCCACGTACTGTGTATACAAATATGTGCATATACTTGAAAATGTGTATGCTCGTGTTCATTTGCACTAGTATACAAATGTATAAGTACGTTATGCAAGCATGTATGTAGGTATTTAAATGTTATTGGCCCAAAAGGCACACACAAATTGCTGCACTAAGGCCCCTCTATTGGGCATCAATTGCGATGTCCTGTGACCTTGTTGGTGACCTGCTTCCAAGCCCCCTCAAGGCTAGCTGGGTTTGTCTTCAAGCGGGGAGCCCTTTGCAGGTGATGCTCCCGTTTTTCTTCAAAGCATTTGATGGACAGCTGTAAAACACTCGCCAGCCAAAAGGGGTCGGTTCAGGGAAACCAGGACATCGGGAAAATTTATCCAAGTCTATCCGTCAGAGGTTTCAACTTGGTCGAATTGCCAGGTGTCTTGGACGCCTCCGATCAGACGGACAGGTTCCAGATTTGTCACGTGTTCCAAGCAAACCAAACAGGGCATGGGGAAATTTGGTGGTTTTTTTCTTCCAGCCTTCTTTGGTGAGTCACTTTTCTCACCTTTCGATCAGACATTCAGTTGCCTAAAGCGAAGCGACCTGAAAGGACCTTTTAGTTTCCCTGTTTGGTCCATTTTTCGTCACCCCAGGTGACCTGAAATGTCAGGCCTTCGGCGAGTTTCGGCCAGCCAGCGAAACGGCCTTGTCGGTGTCGTCCGTTTGACCCCAGCCTGGCGTTTTTGGCCAAGGGGATCCCACGGAAAGCCCAGCTTCCGGGTGGCGTACGGGAGGTATTCCTTTGGTTACGCTCTTAACATACCTCCAGTCCCTCAGTATTCAGTTTCCATCCGGAAAACGAACTTGTTTCCCCTTTAACCCACCACTTAGTGGGTGATCCTGGTATAAAGAAAAAAAACACAATAAATAAGAAAATAAAACAAAACCAAATGCGGCCAGTCCGTTTGTTGAACCGAACCTCTGCGAGAGCCAGGAGCTCTGCTTGAAGAGCCGCTGAAGCTGCGGCGCTTGGAAGCCATCGGCCATGCGCCGCTGAGTACCGTGCTCAAGGCTTTGGCCATGTGCAACAGGCGGCTTCGGCTGAGGCTTTGGCCGTTTGGGGTAGGATGGGTCATGAGCCAAGCAAAAGAAACTGGTTGGTGGTGCACCAACCAGTGAACAAAAGATGTACTTGGTGGTTTGCCAACCAGTTTCTAGAAGGGTCCGTAAGTGGTTTCCAGGCCATTTCGCTTTTAACTTTCATCAGTGGCGATCGTTTCAATGGAAACCACCGGTGCATTGATCAGCTTTTGAGGGGGCGACATCCCTAGTTGATGGTTCATAGAACATATGGCTGATATGGGTATCCATATGAGTGGCTTGTCTTTTTTTGAGGCTACCTTTTGGTTTGGTTTGGAGGGAAACCGAGGAAAACCACCATTTTGTTGATGGTTCATGAATATATTGCTGATACTGTGGATGGACGAAATCCATCTCGTACTACTTGGTAGGTGGTTTACCCCATTTTCTCTAGGGTTTCGTGCAGGATTTTGTCCATCCGTATGTCCGTTTGTTTGTTGTGTTTGCTCGTTTGCTTGAGGGGGTTTGAGCTGCAAAACAGATGATAAATTTCCCAAGGTGCTTTGCCTGCAATGACCTGTATTCGTTGATGACTCATCGAATAGACTCATTAGAGATGGAGTTTAGATGGTCGATTGGAAACGGGAGCCTGAGGCGGATCTCTTGTTCGGACAAGTATTGCAATGGGAATGTGTCAAAACCAGGTACTCCTTCCAAACGGGTGACTCTATGTTGATCTCCTTGTTTAGACGGAGCACACATGACTCCGAAATGGTTCATGTTTCGGTGATTCAACAATCCTTAGCCCCTTACCCTCCCAAAGCAAACATAGAAGCTGCACAGGGTGGATTTGATAGAAACTATTGAGCTTTCTATGGAACCTCCGAAACGTTTGAGTCTTTGCTCACCCGCTCCACTACAAGCACATACCAGTTCCCCAATGACTCGGCGCATTAAAGTGACGCCCTCAAAAATTTGTCCAATCGTTTAAATGGTGGTCCGTAAGGGAACCCCGCCCCCCTCCCCGGAACCCCGCCCCCCTCCCCCACGCAATTTGGGTGTGGGTCAGAACTTGACCACCGTGGCCCATGTTGGATTTCTAGCATTGGATCCACCCCCATTTGATGCTTAATCCCAATGACCCAAAATACATGGGCTTCTCATTTTCCCTAGAACAGGTCCATTAAAAATATAGGCTTGTTTCAGGTTCCCCTGAAAAACTGGTCCATTTACCAGGTTCCCATAAACAGATATCTAGGTTTTCCCCTAGAGAAGGTCCAGGTGGTTTTGGGTGTGGGTCTGGATTTGACCCCTTCTGCCTGGAGCTTTGGACCGGTGAGGCGCCTGGAAGGGAAGAACCTGCCGTGCCTGGGCTTCGTGCCTTGGGTGCGGGTTTACGTGCACCGCCCGGATGAGGCCCAGCGAAGACGCAGAAACGGAAGTGGCTCTGGCGGCTTCTGTTTTGGGGGTTTTGAGGGGAAAGGTAATTGTTTTTTTGGGGTTTTGAGGGTTTTGAGGCTTTTTGTGGGTTTTTGTTGTGGGGTGTTGGGTTTTTTGGGTTTTGAGTAATTACCCATATATGTTTTGTGGTTGTAAGGGGAAAACACATGGAACACACATTTTATTGTTCATGTCACTCCCTCTTTTGGTGGTGGTGGTGCGCTTCTGATGAAACCGCTTTGGTGGGTTTCAAAAAGGCACTCCAAAAGGCAAAGCCGTTAAGCCTTCGGGGGCACCCCCTTTTTTGTTTGTTTTAAGGGAAACAAAAAGGAAAAAACATGGTATTTTTGGTGTCACCTAAAAAGAATACGCTCCAAATTGACGCAAGGTGGTGTTGTTCTTCCCTAACAGCTGAAAGCTATGGGGTCGATAGGCCCAGATAGGCTCTTGGGCGGTTTCGCCGAAGGGGTCCGAGGGTTGCTGTTGGCTTATTTGTTTTTGCCTGGGTGCTCAATCGTCCACTCAAAGGCTAAAGTGTGATGGGGTATCAAAAAATACACCAAAAATATCATGTTTTGCAGAGTTTCTATTTGGCACCCATGTTGCTGTTTTAAGGGAAACCACAAAGAAACCAGTTTGTTGCCTGTCCCCTTCTCCAGAAAGAGAACCGGTGCATTTGTATGCTCAACCTGAACTACCCTTCCCACCAACATGGCACCTCTGGGGCCAATCCAGTTTTGTCCATCAGGAGCTCTGCTCCGGAAGTTTCAGCCATTTGATCCGGCGCATGTGGAAAACACCGCTGGAACTATGTGCCAAAGGGTGAAACCTTGCTCTAGAAGAGGGACGCGGTTCCGTGCAGGGGCTTTAGTCACTTTGGGGGTTTGGACCATTTGAGTGGTGAACAACAAGCTCCTTTTGGGGCAAAGCAAACTCGATCGGAACTCAGGGGAAGGCAATGCTGAGTTGAAAAGATCGCGCCGCAGTTGGAGATTGAAATATACCGACTTATTATTGTTATTATTATTGTTATTATTATTATTATTACTATTGGTATTATAAATCAATCAACCCGAAGGTTTTTGTGTGTTGGGACCCCTTTTCAGGGAGACCAGGCCAACCACTTGGTCCAAAGCCCCACCTTTTGGAGCCATCTAAGGGAAGCTGAGCACACCCCTCCATCACCAAGCCACCAATTCGGCTTCAAACTACCAACTAAGAGGGAAGCTGAACACACACCCCTCCATCACCAAGCCACCGATTCGGCTCCAAACTACCAACTAAGAGGGAGGCTGAACACACCCTCCATCACCAAGCCACCAATTCGGCTTCAAGCTACCAACTAAGCGGGAAGCTGAACACACACCCTTCCATCACCCAGCCACCAATTCGGCTTCAAACTACCAACTAAGAGGGAGGCTGAACACACCCCTGCATCACCAAGCCACCAATTCGGCTTCAAACTACCAACCAGCTAGGGAAGCTGAACGCGCCCCTCCATCACCAAGCCACCAATTCGGCTCCAAACTAATTACCAACTAAGAGGGAGGCTGAACACACCCCTGCATCACCAAGCCACCAATTCGGCATCAAACTACCAACTAACTAGGGAACCCTGGACGTCGGAGGCCATTTCTGAAATGGCCTAGTACCCCTTGGCCATTTTAAGAAAATGCTCGGCCATTTGTGGGTCTTCACCAACGGCCTATTAAGGAACATCTAACGGCCAATTCTGAAGTGGCTCTTAGATATGGCATTGCTTTGCGATTCAGTGTGCTTCAGTGGGTTGGGGTTGCCTTTTGGAGCTTTTCAGCAAGGCAAACTACATTTTTACAAACCCTGGGCGTCCTCGCCCATGTCTGAAAAGGCCTAGGTACCCTCGACCATTTTAGGGTCCTTACAAACGTCTGCTTAAAATTCGTCGAGCGGCATTTTCCGAAATGGCTGTTGTCATGGCCCGGCAGTCAGGAGCCAGCTTGAACACGGGGGTGCGTGATGGCTGGACTACGGCCGCGGTCTAACATCGAGCTCCACAAATGGTTGTCGAAAGCTACTGAAAACGCAGGTGTTTCTTTTTTAGGTCCTTCGACAAACAAGCCAGTTCTCCAAAGGAATTTGGAAGTTCAGGGAGTCAAATTCTGACTTGGCTGATGTGAGCTTGGGGCCTATATGATTGCCAGCTTTGTGTGGGGGGGGGGGTCTTGCTTATTGGCCAACATGGTAGTCCAGAAATTTTAAATGTGGTCTTGCTTATTGGCCAACATGGGAATCCAGAAATGGCTCTTCGGAACCAGTGAAAACATGCATTCTTGCCACAAATGGCTTCTGAAAAGGCCTTTTGAAGTCCAGAGAAAGCTGAGCGCGCACCTCCATCACCAAGCCACCAATTCGGCTTCAAACTACCAACTAAAAAAGCTGAACGCACACACACAACCGCACACACACACACACTTGCGTGTCCAGATGTCCAGATCTCCAGAGATCCCCTGATAGAGGCCAGCGCGCACGTGCGCCGCTCCATGCGTCTTCAGCTGCGGGAAGTGTCCCTGGACGCGGTGCAGCAAGTGAGGGCCAAGCTGGCAGCGGAGCAAATCGACGTGGCCTTTGGGCTGAGCAAGAATTTGGAGTGGGATGAGTTGTTTTTCCTCGTAAGGTTACTTCCATTTGCTGAAATGAAGAGTTGCTTTAGAGAGGGGTACGCTGAGGGCCCTAGTGTTTTCCATATGAAATGGTTGTTTTTGCAGACGTAATTTTCTGGAGTCTGTTGTTGTATTATTATCTCGGGTGGCTTTAAAAGGGACCGATGTAGCTACTGAACATATTGTTCTTTCTTCCAGGCGACTTCAGTAAGATGACCGTAGTCTCTGGTTCATTTGGCAGGGACATGGGCCCTGTACATGTCCCACAAGATCTCGCTGCCCATGTCCCATTTGTCCTTTTGAAGCAGAGAAAAGGGACTGCGGTTATGGGGGAACACGGGCATGGGAAATCTGGGTACTGTTACTTTGGTGCATTTTGCTTGGCTGTTAGGACTTTAACTTTTTGCCAACTAATGGGTTTCCGAAACCACTAAAAGTTAAACTTGTAGCAGGGGAGCAGAAAGCAACCGAGGAAATATGGGTACTGTTCTACCCCTTGGTAGCCCCCGTAAATGATGTCTTTTCCCCTGCTTCCCTGCACAAGGGTCACGTGTTTGGACACTTGTGAGCGTTCGAAGAAACGTGTTTTTTCCCTTTATTGACTCAACACGAGCAGCAAGCTGGCCAGGCACACCAACTTGAAAGTTGCAAAGATTTTGCTGCGTCAGTCTAGCTGCGGTCCTTTTCCTGGCTCGGAAAGGATGCTTGGCTTGGAGGTCGTTGCGGGGTGACTTATGAACCATAGGCCTGGCACTCTGGGGCACACCTGGAGCGAACCGGATTTGAGTCCTCCAGTGTTGGTATCCTTTTTTCCCTTGAGCTCGTTCCTTGTGAAATTCATGGGGGCTGGGGGGGGAAGGAGGGGGGGGGGGAGGGAGCCCCAATAAGGTTCAAATAAGGCCTTGTGAGGGGCTTAATAAGGGCTTATTTGGGCTCCCTCCCCTCCCCTCCCTCCCTCCCCCCTAGCCCCGAGACTGGTGCGAAGTATCCCTCCACCCCAGTGGATCCCAGTTGCCTCTGTAGGTAGCCCTTCGCCATTTTTGGTGTTGGTTTTAGGATGGCAAGTCCTCGGCTGACAAAAGGGGACATGAGCCACGTGCTTGCTCACCCGGTAGATGAAGGCTGGTAAGGGATAATCCCAACCATAAATCGCTACGGAATTCCGCCTTCTTAATTCTTGAAGCATGATTCTAGGATTACGACCATTTTACGCGAGTGTTAAGTATGACTCACATGGAATCATAGGGACTTCAGACAACCATTCTAAGGGTTCCAGATCAAATGGCCTTAGGCATAGCGTCTGGGTTTTGGGAACATTGCTTGAAGGAACCCCAAAACCACAGTCCTTTGGACAACTGAGTGCTTAGTCTCCTTTTTCACATTCACTCCCTGATTTTTGTTGGGCTTCAAATGGAATCACTGGGCAGCCAAGTGGATCCCAGTTGCCTCTATATACTTGGCAACCTGCCAGGTTCCCGTTGGTTTGATGTTGGCAAGTTTCTGGCGACACAACAAAACCCAGGGAAAAAACGGAAAATCGCTGTGCACATGCTTGGCTCAAGCTGGGGAATTTGACCCAAAGGATGGGCTTCATCCTGAAAATTGGGTGTATTTTATTTCTCTGGGTGTATTGGAAAGGCTGGTATCTCATGGTGTCCTTTTTGTGTACTTGCAATTGAACCAGCCATGTTCCTTTTGGTTTCAGGGTGGCAAGCCCCTGACATGACCAAAACCATGGTTTTGGGAAAAGGAATCACTGGGCACATGCGTGGCTAGGTCCCCCAGTGCCCTTCTCTCCCCTTTTTTGGTTGGGAGGGTTCGGGACTCTACTAAAATAGACTGAGAAAAAAAGTTGGCGCCCTTATTCCAACCTCTCAAATCTGGAGGACCTAGACTGGGTCTCCCTTTTCCCAGTTGGTTCCTCTCCGCGGCGCAGGTCCGGGTCCGCGCTGACACGGACCTGCGGCGGCTGAGCGGCCTGGTGCACAGCCGCTTTCAGCTGTCCGCCATCGGACTGGGAGACGCTAAGACTTGACCCGAGGCGCGCAGGTCTTCCAACGTTTCCAGGGTTTGATTTTTGTTACCCGCTCAAAAGGGGAGGGGCAAAAAACCCTGGGAAAATCGATTTCGCGGTTTTCCGAAAAACAGATGGACTAAAAAGTATGGGTGGCGCAACCAGCCATCCGGTTCCTTAGCCTTTTAGCTCTTTAGTGACTTTAGTGCTAGTTTCCGAATTTGACCCCAAAGTTAGGGCCCTGGAATATGGGTGTGGCTCAGAATTTAACAGTAGGGGTCACGCAGGTTTTGGTCCATGTTTCCACTTACCAGGGTTCCATTTTGGTACCGGTTTTTTGGAGCCACAGCCATATGTGCCTTTGTTTTTCCCCCGCTGGTTGTAAATGGAATCTACTGGAAATATGTATATGCCAAGTCTAGTTGGGCGTCTAGAAATGGGGGTTGATCAAAAGTTCCGGTAAACATGGGATGACCATTGGCTGGAAAACCACTAAACAAATTTCCCACCCTCCAATTTGGCGATGACTTTGACTGTAAGTGGCCATAGAAATGGAGTGACGCATATATGTCTGGTACCCGGATAATTTATACCGCAAGTATGGATTCGAGCCGACTGCACCAATATTGGCCACGCAACGTCTTTTTGATGCTAGGTCCCGATGTTCAGCATCCCTCCGTTAAACCAGACTTGGGTATGGGTCAAACTTCAGCCACCAGGAAGCCGCAGGGTTTTCCGTCCTTTCCATCAGGGCAACCCAACACATGGGGTTCTACACCATTTTCGACACCCCGAGTGTCCGAGGACGCCTTGGTGATTCAAGCCATGGGCAGCCTCGCGACATGTCTTGAACCGCCGGGTATCTGTGGGTTTTGTGCACTGTCTAAGGGTGTTTCTCTTCTCTTGTTTTGTTTTTTTCTTTTATTTTTTTCCGGGCACCCCAAAGCCCTCAAATTGGGGGCTTCCTTTTGGTTACCAGAAGGAAAGAACACAGAAAAGGGGTGCCTCAAAAATGAGCACTCATCATGTAAGATGATCGGATCATATTTTGTTCGGGAACTCCTCATTGTTTGCAACGGGCCCTTTTTGCGTTAGAGGGATGCAAGAAAACCAGCCATTTCAGGGCTGATTTTGAGACCAGCTTATACTCCAGGAGTATGGTCCTCCAATGTCCTCCATGTAGATTCGAAGGTTTGCGAAGCCATCTTACCTTTTGGCAGAAAGGCCTGGAAGATCGACGCATTTCAGAAGGGTCCTCACTTCCTGAGTTCCTGAACTTCATACTTTTTTGGGAAGGCAGTTTTAGTGGTAATTTAGACAGTTTGGACTTTTTTGGCCATTCCACTCAGGAAGTGAGGGTACTCAAAGCATGATCGATGTTTGAGAACTATTGCCATTAGATTACAAAGATTTAGGAGCCAACAAAAGCGAGGGGGGATTCTCCTCGCTTCGGGCACACAACCCATCACCGAATGTCCACCTAATTCAGACGGCCCTTAACGGGAGAACCCGTAAGAGGTTTGGATTTCAGGCAGTTTCAGGCTGAAACAAAACGATAAACCGGATGTGCTGAGAGGTGTGCGACAACCAACTAATCACAAACCGCCCGAAGTTTCCCGGGAAACCCCGTTTGAAGAGCCGCCAAGATCATGTCCCCTTTTCCAGATTCATATCATGGCCCCAAACAGTGTAATGCATGGGGCCCACATATTATTTTTGGATGTTTGGGCATCGTTTGCCTTCGGTGGCCTTTGTGAGTTTTCCTGTTTAGGGGCCCATGGAGCAAACATACTGTGGATGGACGAAATCCTGCACCATCTAAGAAACCCTAGAATGATGATTCCCCTGCAAATACCAACAAACAATGATTTCCCATTGCTTTCAAGTGATGCAGGATTTCGTCCATCCAGTATCAAATTTACATTTGGCGATCACAGCTTTACGATGTTGGTAGCACCAGGTTGGTCGCTACCATAGGTTGGAGTCCAAGGGTTGCTTAAACTTGCCGTGTCAAACGAAACTGGCCACCCCAATCCATTCAGAGGGGTCAATTTTTAGCAGCACCCACATTAACTTGTTATGTGGGTATGGCTCAAAATTAAACAGGCGGGGTCCATGTTTCCACTTCCCAGGGATCCATTTTGGTACCGGTTTTTTGAGCCACAGCCATGTTACTTCTAGAAGCACTGGTGTTGGGCAACACATTAGACCTTTACGACTACGTTGGTAGAACCATGTTGCTGATAGTTTTATACATAACCCAATGGGTTGGCTCGCAAACGCAAAAAATGGGTAGCCCCTTGTCGGGTTTCGGTTTCGGTGCTCTCAAAAAAAGAGAGTTCTATATTTGGGGGTTCAATTACCACCATTAAAACGATGGAGTTCATACTGATAGACAGAATCCATTTCGCACCACTTTGAGACCATGGTTGAAACCACTTGTTGGTATTTACAGGAGAATCATCAGAAACCAGGGTTTCTTAGGTGGTGTAGGATTGCGTCCACCCACAGTAATTTCACCACCATTGTTTACCCTTCAGGCGCGTTCAGGATTGTCGTCCAGTGTTTGCTTGGGTCGTTAGTGGAAAATGGGTGCAAGGATCTCTTGGGCAAAGGGAGCAATGGTCCCAACAAACAACGGAAACCCTTTTCAAATGCATGGTATCCCCCTAAAACTGGCCATTGTCCACCTCGAGGTGCGAACCGAACCACCCATTTTAAGGTGAAAGCCACATTGTTTTATGGAAACAAGCACCATGTGCAAATGGCATCTGCGAATTTGAAGTTGGAGACCACCGACTTTCAGGTAGGGTCCCTACCCACGCATTTTCAGATGGACACCACACATTTCAAGGTGAGAACTGCTGATGTTAAGGTGCACACCACGCCATTTCAAGGTGAACACCGCACATTTTAAGGTGAAAGCCACCCATTTGATGGTCCGCGTGTTGGGCTTCGGGGGTTTTCTCAGGCCATGTACAAGATGGTGAGGGCCATCGCCGTGGCCTGGCAGCGCAGCGCCCGGCACCACGAGACGGAGCTCTACGACGCGGCCTTCCATTGCTTCGTGGAGCCGACTCGCGCTCGGTCGCTCGCTCGGTCGGTGCGGTGGACTCACCGTGGAGCTTCTCAGTTGGCCTGAAATGAAGATCCCACATTTCAAAACAGTGAAATGGGTCAAAAGCCAAGAAGCCAAATCGTACCCGCAGTGGTTACATCCCAATCCAGCCACTAAAATAGGTTCTAAAATGGGTGGTGAATTCACCTACCCCAAAATGGTACCATTGGTTTTGACCCACAGCCAAATGAAGATCCCTATAGACCCATCAAAAAGTGGCAGTCTCCGGATTTTACGTTGAATTGTCCGTGATTTGGAAGATCCAGGTGCTCTATGTTCCCTTGTTGGAACAGAAAGGGAATCGATTTCACCACCGAAGATATGTTCTCTTTTTGTGTCCGCGACTCTAGAGCTCCATTTGCTGGAAGTATATTGACATGTGTCGTAAGGGTGGACCCCCCAAAATGGTCTCAACATCCGCTTATGTTCATTTGCTAGAAAATGAAAGGTGACTAAACAGTAAAGCACCTGGGGTTTATGGATGTACATACTTCCAGTTGCTGAAATGAAGATGTTAGTCATGTTCCCTTGTTGGTTCGAAAAGGAATCGATTTCACTACTCGGAAAGTTTCAGTTTTGACGGTTGAAACCATAACGTTTGCTGGTAGTTACGTTGGGGAATCGAATTTCCATGGATTCTGAACGGTGCACCAGTTGGGATTGGCGGTTTTTCGCGTTGTTTATGGGGTTCGTCCATCCCAACTGGTGCGAATGATCCAGCTAATACCAACAAAAGATGGGTGCAACGTTTCATTTTGTGGTCCGACTTGGATTTCGAAAGCATCCCTATTTTTGGAGAGCCTCCCCTCATGGCTGGGTTTTTGAAACCCACAAGCACCAATTTCCAGCCCGCAAGTGAGAACTGCGCGCCTGAGCCACCGCGAGCAAACTCCGCATGGGGGGGACCTGCGGAGGCCACCAAACAAATGCAGGTGGACAGGGTGAAGCACGCAGTCATGAAGCGAACGGCCGGTGGTTTTTCTGTGGACACACCACCCGGAAAAATCGGCGCGGTGTCCAGCTTTCAGTGGTTTCCCACCTAAAAATCTCGGTGTCCAGTTTGTCCCACCTAAAAGTCGGTGGTGTCGAACTTCAAACTTGTGGTTTCCATTTGAACATAGTGTGGTCACCTTAAAATGGGTGGTTCGGTGCGCAGCTTCAGATGGACAATACCCAGTTTTTGCGGAGGGTGAACAATTTAGGCGAATGGAGTTCCCGTTGTTTGTACCTTTCGTTTGGCAACTTTTCAAGAATGAAAGAATCAGCCCCGCAGTCCCGAAGAGTCACTGGGCAACTGTCGTTTCCTCAAGGTTCTGCAGTGTTTTTGGTGTGGCTCTGTCTTTTTGTTGACGGTATCCATTTTTGGGATGGTTTTGAGGGGAAACCAGAAGGAACCTGACCATTTTGGTTGGGTACCCCTAAGAAAGATAATTACACACCCGTTGTGTTTGCTCTTTGATTCTTTTCATGTTTTGTGGGGCAGCTGCAAAGTTGTTTGCCATTCCCGGACTTCGGAAGAGTTGATTTTCCATTGGGTGCCTCTTTCAGCAAAAAGGGATTACTGATTTTAATAAACCAACTGGTTGGTGTTAGTTGGTGTCCTTTTTGGAAGGACCCCCTAAAAACGGCTCCGAGAAGAACCCCCTCGAGAGATCTGGGTGGGTTCCATGATGTTTCCCGCTTGGCACAGGTACTAATATGGTATGGTACTAATATGATATGATACTCATATATATATATGTATATATAACATACATGCATGGTTGCCTTTCTTTGCCCACCCTGTTGCGTGTACAGAAAGCTGGGCAACTTGTGTGCCAACCATCGGTTCCATGTCAACTTGAGCCTTAGCTCACCGACTTTGCCATGAAATAAGTGGATTTTGGCAGCCTCGCTTCATTTTTTTCTGCCGTTTTGTGGCCATTCTGTTCAAAGGCCAGGAGTTGTCCCACTGGCCTGGAAAGTGGCCCGGCTTTGATGCAGGCTCCGTTTCGGACCTTCAGTGGATTCCAGCCTTCCAGTTGTCGCTGGCCGGTTGCCCTTGACACGACCAAACCTCTTCGCTCGACTCGTCGTGTCACGGGGCACCTGGCGGAGGAGAGCCAACGCTTCCCGAGCGTGGCCAACCTCAAGCGCCCCTCGCACGCGGTTTTTGTTGTTGTGGTGCGTTTTTCTCCAATGCTGTTGATGAACCTGCTGATCCCCCAGATCCTTCTACAGGCTGAAATGTGGGTCTCACCTGCTATAATGGCCTAACCTTCAACTTGATGCGAGATGATCGCGGGTGTTTGAAGCGCGCCGATCCACCCAATGGGATTGGGAGCCCTCCCAAGAAAGGGCGTAGCTCTTTTTGAGACAGCGCAAAATGGCCCCGCTTTTTCCGAGGAAGGGATACAAGAAGGGTACAAACACAGAAGACGGAGCAGTGGGTGGCTCGTCTGTGAGGCTGATTCTTTTTTGACTTGGTTTTATCGGGAAGCCGAAGGAACACGATTCTGTTTGGAAGTACCCCTAGACCGCAAATGAAGTTCAGTTGCCCCTAAAAACCCGCGTTGCCTTTGCGGAAACGCTGCGCACTTCCATGTTAGTTGATAGGGGGAGTATGTCTTCCATTTCACCTGGCAAATTCTGATAAGGACAAAGATGGTTGTACGATAGGGGACCCGCACAACACGGGTTGGTGTTTCTTTTGGTTTCCCTTCAGACCAAACCAAACAGAGCACATTGGAACCCCATGGCACTGGGGCACTCGTCAGGGGTCTGCCTGTCAGATTCCATGAGCTTCCCACCTTTCCGGGGCTCGGCCTTTGCCTGGGACGTTTTTCAGTGAAGGGGGGGTGGACCGCATGCTGGATGCTTGCCCGTGGTTTTTTGTTTTTTCTCCGAATGGGGGGTTGATTGCACATGCTGGATGATTGCCCGTGTTTTTTTTTGTTCTCCGAAGGGGGGGGTTGATTGCACATGCTGGATGATTGCCGGTGACGGTGTTTTTGCTTTTGTTTTTGCAAGGTGGGGGTGGATTGCACATGCTTGATACTTTCTCTAGGTCCCACAGTAGTGCCCTTCGCACCCCTTTTTGGGGGGAGGGTTCCCCTACTAAAATAGACTGCAGACAGAAGTTGAAAGTGCAACAAGGCCCTTACTTCTAATAGGGAACTGAAAAACAAAAAAAACAGCAACATTGGGTACCAACTTATTCTAACCTCTCAAATCAAATCTGGAGGAAGGACAAATCGGGTACCAACTTATTCTAGCCCTCCAAAAAGTTGGTACCCTTACAGAAAAAAGTTGGTACAAGCATAGACTTCCAAAAATTCTGGAGGACCCATCACCTTCTCCTGCGCCTGGCTCATCCCACGAGGTTACAGCGGCGTTCAGTGCACTCTCTTGCCCGTCGCGGACATGACCTCGCTGGGGGAGCGATTTGCGAGCCTGAAACGCGAAGCCGAGGAGAGCAAAAAAGGAAGGGTCTACTCGTGGGTGTGTGTGTGTGTGTGTGTTTTTAATGAAAAGCAACTCAAGGGTATCAGGGTCCAAGATTGATTCGACCCATGCTGAACAACCCTCAAAGGCAAGAAACAGGTGGAGTGTTTAAATGCCAGCAACTTATTGTGTTTTATTCATAGTTGACCTGGGGACCATGGCAGTCATTGTTTTTGGGGAACTACAGGGGGATCGAATCATTCTAGGGTTTCTTAGGTGGTGCGAAATGGATTTCATCCATCCACTGGTTCCAATTTCCGAGTTTTCCTGCGCGGCCCCTGGCATTTGCTCAAGCCATGGAGATGACGAGATGGAGGAACCAGGCACTAGGCCTTTTGGTCCAGAATTAGGGAGCCAAGGCGAATGTGCGATCAATACATATGATGCAGGTATCACTATTGCAAGCAAGCTACTCCAGAACACCCATCAGACCCAAGTTAATGGCACTGTGTCTTACACACATTGGCACAACACACACATTGACATTTTGAGAAAACGTCCCGCCTCCGGGTCACTGAATCATTTTTACTGCTGGAGCTGATAAGACGCTACCGCTGCTCTTGTCTCAGCATGCTGCCCTTGCGCACTCAGTTTAACACGTATTGGCTTATTGCGGACTGCGCAGATGCATCCGGGTGTCCCGTGATGCCTCAGGTGTTTCTAGACGAAGCAGGGATAGATAATCACTCCCTGAGTTGCTTGATTTGAACTTTTTGGGACCATTTTGGTGATAAACGACCAGTTCAGACTTGTGTTGGCCTATCCTCCTAGAAAGTGAGGATGCTTCTCCACTTTGCACATACTGCCACGGCTTTACCACCTTGCTTCAAGGTCCTTTGAGCAGCGGTCAGTGCGATGGCCAACGCAGACGATGAGAAGGCGACTTGCTGCAGTATGAGGTCAATCTTGCAGCCCACCGTTCATGTTTCTTTGGTGCATTTTGCCAAGGGATGTTAGGACTTTAACGGTTTGCCAACGAATGGGTTTTCCGTATTTTACCACTAGCCAGTCACTTTTAGCAGAGAGAGCAACCGAGTTTGGGTGTCCTTTTGGTTTCCCGGTTAAACCAGCCCAAAGAAGGGGTTCCTTCAAGAGCAAGTGAGTCATAATCAAAACCGATCGGCACAAAAAAATGGTGAACCCAGAACCATGTAAGGAACTGAAAAGGCGGAATTCCGGAACTGTTTCTGGCTGGGACTGGCCCTTACTAACCTAACCATCTACCTGAATCGGTTTTGAGCAAGTGGCTCACGTTTTGATTCCATTCCATGGGGCCCAAAGACCTGGGACGTAAAGCAAGGAGCTGGTCGGGCAAATCATTGGAAGCCGAAATGGGGTGTGACACGCCTAACGCCAGGATTTCTATAGGTGCCCCCAGCAATTGGTGCCCTTTCTCACCCAACTTTTTTGGTTGGCAAGCCTACCAAAAAAGACAGAGAAAAGAATTGGTAGCAACTTATTCAAGCCTTTCTAGAGGACCTAGATTTAGTCTCCTTCAGGCTGGTGAATGACAAAAACCCCGACCTGAGAAGTGCCAACCATCCAGAGATTGATGCATTTGATGTTACAGCTTGGTTTGGTTTGGCACCGATTCTGAACACTGGAAAGCATATTCTTGGACTGGGTTGTTCGAAGCATCCTTGTGACACATGAGCAGCTCTAAAAACCCCCCGTTACATGCCAAGCAAGAGTTGTGTCATAACAAGGCCCCGCGTAAGCAAACGCCTGCACGGCGCAAGCAGGCGTAAGCACTTTTTGGGGAAACATGTTGCGTAAGCACCTGCGTAAGCTCTTCTTCGTGATTGCTTGGTAAGCTTTGTAAGCATGCTCGGAAGAGTTGTCCCACATGTGCTTATGCGTTTTTTGGTGGCTTGTGCTGTTGCAACCTAGTCGAGCTTGGCAACTTGCCCGGAAAACTTCGGCTGCAGGAAGACGTCTAAGACCGCATGTGCGCACCATTAGAAAAAAACAACCAAAACAGCAGAACTTTGATTGGGAGCTCTTGGGGCTCATGCTAGGTGGTGTCGCAACCTCCATTACAACAAATAAAGGCTTCAGTAGCCGCTGATTTAGGAAAACTAGAGGGGCGCGGGCGCGTAAGCTCGCGTAAGCAGGCGCGTAAGGTTCGCGCAAGCTCGCCTAGCTCAGCTGCCCGCTAGCCCTTGTGATGGATGCCGCTACCGCAAAAACCTGTTTCTTGATTTGCAGCAAAAACAACAACGCCAAGCTGCTGAAGCTCGCGAGCGTAATTCTTCGTCATCTCTTCCACACAGTCATCCACATCATCTTCAACAGTTCTGGCGGCTGCACGGGAAAAGAAGCCCGCGTAAGCAATTCTTGAGGGGAAACGCTTAAAACGCCGACGCGTAAGCGATGCGTAAGCTCTACATGCTGTCTGACTGCCGCGCAAGCTAAAACATGGGTCGCGTAAGGAAAGCGCAAGCTTGCGCGTAAGCAACTTGATACGACATAGGGATTCATGGGAGGTTTATAGAGTCGCTCACATGGTAGCGATGTCCCTTGTTCTGGGGTCCCATTGCGGATTTCGGATTAGTTGTCTCTCCATGTTTGAATAATTTGCTGGTGCTCAGCAGGGAATGAGGGAATCACCCTTACAAACTATCCATTTAGCGGTTTCCTTGGTGGTGTCCTTTGAGGGGACCGAAGCCTGGGCTCATTCTCACATTCCCTGCTGAGCACCAGCAAGATAACCTCCGACCTTTGGACCTTTTGGTTTGGGTTTGGTCCATTTTTAGTCCTGACCCAAAAGAGCTACAATTCATCTTGGTCTGTATGGGTTGATCTTTCATTTCCAAGCCTGGCACACTGGGTTTACAGACATTTGCCCAAGGTCGTGGGATCGATGCCTTGATGTCATCTGAAGCTCCTTGGGACAATTGAGACCTAGTCGGACCTGCGCATGTTTTGCTTCAGGAGAAGGAGCGCATCATGTCGCTGCCGCAGTTGCAGAACCTCATGAAGAGGGATCCAGAGGCCGTTTGTTCTTTTTGTTTTTTGTGTTTTATTCCGTCTTGGCTGATTCAGGTAAGCCTTAGTTGGCGGTTTGGTGCTTTCGGTGTGTCGGTGAAATGGAGTTTCCCATTTAGCCTCTACAAGCTGGGCTTCCTATGCCCCAATAAGCAGCAATTGAGGTACAATCAAAACCCGGTTAGATGAAGGTTAGTAAGGGCCAGTCCTAGCCAGGAATAGTTGCGGCCGCCTTTCTAATTCTTTACATGGTTCTGGGTTCACCATTTTTGTACCGATCGGTTTTGATTGTGACTCAATTGAGGTACAGGTGATTGATGTGTTTCTGGCCCTCTCTACGAAACTCCTATCATGTCTGGACAAAACAACAATCGCGAGCATGTCGACTGGCTCAGAGATGCGGTTCGATCCGCATATCTCACCACCGCCCTCTTAAACTTGCGGGCCCCGAGAGGGAGATGCTCAAATCGGGAGCTTTTATGGAAGTCTACCACTCCTTAAGGATTAAGGTCACACCCCGCAAACAACGCGCAAAGCGGGAGTTGTCCATTCCTTGGCTGGTTTGTATGTCCGATGTGCATTGTGCCTTGCGTATGTGTTTTTCAGGCGTATGGTGCCGAGTTTGATCAACAATGGCCTTGGCCTCAGAGCAGTATCACGAAAGCAGCTGGAAGGGCTGAAGTTTGTTCAGCCCGTGAAGCTTTGCATGTGGTTCGGGTTTGCATGTGTTTACCCTGTCAGCCTTTGCGAAGAAAACGCCCCACTCGGAACTTGAGAGCTGGGAAGACACGAGACGTTCCCTGAGAGGGAGGTCAACCACTTTGCAGCAACCTTTGGCACTTCATTTCAGACTATCTGCGTTAAAGGCGTCGCGCATGTCGCGGTTTGATTCAAGAAGGAGTTCTCAAAGCCTCTGTTTCTCCCACTCGCCAAAGCGAATCGACCTGAAATGGCCCTTTGGGTTTCCAGTCATACAACCCAAGCCCACCAGCCCAACAGCCTAACAACCCAACAACCCCACAGCCATTCTTCGTCACGGCAACCCAAAAGGCGATCGCATCCGGGGCGACTGAGTCCTGCCCCTCACTCTGCACGTTCAGAGCTCAAGAAGGTCTTCCCTGGGCCCACCGAGTTTGTTTGGCTTTCCGCCTGGAAAATGCCAAACACCGCCCTGCCGTGTTGTTTTTTCCTCCTTTTTGTGGGAAAGCTGGTTGAATCCTCTCCTTTTGGGTGGAGAATGTTGGACACTTCTGGTCGCATGGGGTCAGCGCTGGGTGAAGCTGAGGTCACACTTCGACAGCCAGATGGAGATCTTCAAGTTGAAACCTCAGAAGCCGGCGAGCTCCTTTGGGCAGCAGGCGGAGTTCTCGGTGCTTCGATGAGTTCTTTTTTCGCGTTTTCCCCGTGCGGAGCTTCGCAGATGGAGAAAGTTTGGAGTCAGATGCAACTGAAGCAAAACCAGTTGCCGAAGGAGCTCTGTTGGTTTTAAAGGCACCCCATCGCTGTTGGGACATTTTTTCCAGGGGACTTGAGCAAAGGGAGGGAAGCTTCTTGTTCATATTATATGTGCGTTTTGCAGGAAACGGTGATGCCCGAGTGCCCTGCGATTCCGGTGAACGGAGCCCAGTGGGCAAGAACACGAACGAGAGGGTAAGGAATTGGAACGGATAGGGAGAAAATGGAAGGACGGGAAGGGGAAAGGACGCGGAATGAAAGAGAGAGGGAATGGAAGGAAGGACAAGCCAGAAGGGAAGGCAAGGAAAACTTGCTGGTGCTCAGGAAATGTGGCAATGGACCCAGGCTTTGGTCCCCAAGGAAACCGCCAGGGATGGTGTATAAGGGTCATTCCCTCATTCCCTTCTGAGCACAAGCAAGAACAGGGCGAAGCATGCCATGCTGCGGTTCGCTTACCTGCTTTGCCTTCCTGGGGGCAAGGGAAAGACTGGGATGGGCATCCTCAGGGCCATTGCCAGGTGGTCGCAGGGTAAATACGGCCACAGCTTGAATTCCCAAGGGTTGGATACAGCGACGGTCGAATGCTTTGATAGAGAATCTAAGCTGCGTTTTGCATAATTCCCCATCCCCCTATAGCTCGGGGACCAAACTACTTTTGACTACTTTGCTTTATGGCCCCTCGTGGTTGGCCGTGGTACCTATACCTCTAGGGGGTGATTCTAACCATTCGTTTCAGCCATTCTTCGTTTCCAAGACCCATCACCGTGTTTCCGGGATTTTTAGGTAGCTTTCTGGAAAGGATCCCTGGGTTCAGACTGGAATCGAAGTCGACCCTGTAGGCAAAGTCCATGGAAGCTCCCAGGATGAATTTCACTTGGTTCCATTTACAGAGGCCTTCTGGGGGGAGCTACCCACAGAATCAGAATACCCCACAGTTCTTCCCCGAAATGGAAGACTTGGTTCGGCCTGGAGCTACCGGGACTTCTGGGAGCTACCTCCCAAAGACTCCCACAAAACTGGCCAAATTCATGGTTGTTGTTGGGAAACACTTTACATGTTTGCTTATTGTGGTTTAGTGGGAAATCCCCACTTAACTGCTAAAAATTAAATGTTTGCTCCCCTTCCAACGTCAACCAAGAGTTTCGTTTTGCTCCTCCGGAGGTGATGTTCCTAGCCCACGTGGCGCCCAGTTTCCCAGAGAAGGCCAAAGCGCGGGCCGCAGTTGCGAAGCTTCGAGCTGGTGGAGCTGGTCTTTGGTTTGTTCCCAGGGCCTTCCGTCCCAGGCTGGAGGTCTATTTTTTGAGCTTCAAACTATATATCCCCTCAAGAAAGGGATTTCGCCAACCATAATCTTGAGTTGGAGTATGTTGGGGAAAAAAAACATTGCTAGGGGCAGTTTGAGGGTCCAGGTTCCTATTTTGGGACTAGCGTAAAATCAACGGGTGCCCGTCTTTCCCACAACTGGAGGCTTGTGTGATAGCCACCAGTGGGAGATCATATCCACTGGGTACTGGAGTAGAGAAACAAATGGCCAGGGGTCAAAACCGTTAAACGGGATCCCATGTTGGTGGGTAGGTGAATTCACCACCCATCTTAGACCATTTTAGAACCTATTTTAGTGGGGATTGGGATGTTCACTGGCGGTACGATTTGGATTTTGACCCATGGCCAAATGGGGTTTATGAAGAGGTTAGGACCACTGGGGAAGATGTGGGATGTTGAGACAAGGCAATTCTTCAACCTCAAAATCCCCGTTCCGTGTTTATTTTCCCTACGTGTTGTTTGTTTTCCACCCTTCAGTCACTGACCTGGTTTCTGTGTCGACCTTCGAGATCGGACTCAGGCGTTGCCTGATCTGCTGATAGGCCCGGCAATATATATACATATATATATATACATGTGAGGTTCGCAGGGGATTCTGCATAACACTTGCAACACCCAGTTGCCCAGTGATGCCTTTCTCTTTTTTTTGGGGAAGGGCTCCCCGTTAAAGTGAACCAACCAACACGGGACGCCTGTTTTCCCATGGCCACTCGGCATTGCAGTAGCCCCCTTGGAGGGAAACCTGAAGACAAAAAGGCGAGAGCTGTTCACTCACTTCCTGAGTTGGTGGACGTTAAACTTTTTGGAAAGACCATTTTAGTGGTAAATCAAAAGTTCAAACTTTTTTTGGCCAGTCAACTTGGGAAGTGAGGTTCAGTTACAATCCGCGTTTTGGTTGGCGAGCAAATTCCATCTGGAAGGTGTTTTTGTTGGCTGGTGAATACTGACGAAAACCATTTCGCACCACCCAAGAAACCCTGGTTTCTGATGATTCCCCAACGTAAATACCAACAACCAACGGTTTCAACCATGGTTTCAAGGTGCTGCGAATCGGATTTCGTCCATCCACAGTATTGCACCATGCCACGCAGATAGTGGTTTTGATCATGAGGCAATGCCTTCATGGCATGGCATGGCATGTTCTGTCATGAGCATTTGTCATCGCACGTTACCTTGTGACATTCGAGGGGTCGATTCCTTGTCCATTCTTTTCAGCCATCCTTCTTTTCAATACCCAGATCCATTTCCCAGAGGTTTTTTTGGTGGTTTTCTAGAAAGATTCGGATCCCTGGGTTCAGAATGGACATGGAAGTTACCCCTAGAGCTGTGACTCATTTGTGGATGTGCTTCTCGGTTTCCGGAAAACTTCTTGAGTCGATGTTTGGAACTGAGGGTAGAAAACCAGCGATTTTTGGCCACGGGAAGGAGATATTCTTCTCAGGGTCGTCAAGGTGTGGTGGTCAAAACCGTTAAGCGGATGATCCCATGACTGGTTGGGATTGGTGAATTCACCACCCATTTTAGACCCGTTTTAGAACGTATTTTAGTGGTTGGATTGGGATGTTCACTGGGGGAACGATGTGGCTTTTGACCCACGGCCAGTTCAGACATTCCTTTCCTCTCGGGGGAGCATCGACCCCTACGGTCGACCCCAACGGTTTCACTTTTGGCGCCGTCAGCCATGAGCCTCCCAGACCTTCCTCGAGGCACCACTCTGCATGGCAAGCTATTTATATCTCGCTGCAACATCCAGCCTTGCAAACGCAGGGGTTGTTCGGATTCTCTAAGGGGATCTTGGCATGCTTTTGGGCCAAGCAAGCTCGTCCCGGAAGAAAGGACTCTTGCGTGGGTCACTTGGGGTAGAGGGGTCCATGATTTCCTTCGCCGCTCCGTCAGGAGCGCTGAGCGATCACTTCGAGATCATGCACAGCAGCATGCGGACGACCCTCGTGCAGGCGTAAACCACCTTGTTGGTGGCCGCATGACGCGTGGGAATCTTCTTTGCTTTTTCTTGAAAGTAAGCTCCAGACCATGCCCAGACCATCCGTGTAGGCAAAAAATATGCAAATTTTGAGGGTACATGTGGAATATATATATATATACATGTTACCCACATGGATTGGGATTATGAAGTGGAGATCATCGTCCTGCTTCGGAACAGGCTCTGATTCTGCTTCGGAACAGGGATCAGCCCGAGCCTCGGTGCTCGAATCGCGCGAGTTACGAGTCACCGCGTGCTGGGAGAATAACTCTGTTAGAAGATGACTTCTGGTAAAGATCCCTCAATGTACCTGGTATACTTGTTCACTTTCCCAAGGCGAATCAACCTTGATCAAAAGATCCTGTACAAAGGATGAGATTTCCCACTAAATGGGAACAGGCTCCCATGGTCATTTGGGGGCCATGCCATTTGTGCAACTGCAACCAGCGCTTGGCTAGGTTTCCGTGCACCAAGACCCTGCCGGTGTATTTCAAGCTTTTCCGCTCGCAGGAGTCGCAGCGTTTTTTTTTTTTTTTTTTTTTTTTTTTTTTTTTTAAAATATATCAGAGCCATTTGGGAGAGGGCGCCAAACGTCATGCTTGTCTTGCAAGGGTGACCATAAATTCCACGGGCCTCGGCACGTTTGCTGAGCACGATGTTTGGGGCTGGGGGGCCGGGGGGCAGGGGGAGGGAGCCCAAAGGCTCTATGGGCTCAAGCCTTAAGGCCAGCCCCCTTTGCCTGCCTGATTCTCTTGGTCACTTGCCAGAGGTTTTGCAGGGTGTTTTGCTTCCCCTTGAATGACAGGTGACCCAAGGTGGATGACAGCCCGGAACGGTAAACAATCTTGCTGTGTATGAACCCAACCATTGTCTTAATGGTGGTTTGAACCCCCCAGAAAGTTGACTTCGAAGTGTGCAGAGGGTGTGTGTGTGTGTGTGTTGTGTCTTGAGACCCAGCGGTTGAACGACGCCTGCTTCAATCTTCGATGTACTCCTTGTTTCTGATTCTATGTTGCATTTCTGAAGGCACGCACTGCGCATTTGGGTGTGTTTGTTTTTGCCGCTGATAGTTGTTTTTGTTGTCGTTGTTCTTTCGGGAGGAGGGTTTTTCTATGTGCTTCGAAGCCACGTGGCGCCAGGACAAAGCCTTGCGGAAGTCGATTTTCAACCACATTGTCCGCGACATCGCACAGATGAACCAAAAGACCAAGAATCAGAAGGCCGCGGTTTTCAGCAGCCCAACTCCGATGGGCACTTGGACCTCTTCTTACGGACAGTGTTTGAAGCAACCAGCATGAGACCGGCCATGTCCATAGGTCACATTGTTGGCTGACACACACACACACACAACCGCACACACCACACCGCACATACACACACAGCACAAGAAAACAAAGCAACGCACAAACAAGCAGAATCACACAAGGACATGTACACACACAACCACACTCAAACACACACGCACACAGTCACACACGCACACACACACACAGACACACACAGACACACACAGACACACAAACAAGCAAACAAACAAACACACAACCAAACAAACAAACTTAATAACACGCACAAGCGCAAACACGCACACACACACACATACACACAGACACGCTCTCTCCCCCTCTTTTGAACATACACACACACACACTCGCACACACACACACACACATACACACACACACACACACACACACACACACACACACACACACACACACACACACACTTGTGAAATCCCCCCTCTCTCGGTCCTTGTTGCGTCTCATTTCTTCTGCGAGGGTCAGGATCAAGCCCAGTGGGCACACATGCACTCTAATTGATTGAGTGGAGTTTCGTCATCCTTGGGCCCTACTCGTCAGGGCCACAGACTAGACCCAAGGATGGCTGTGGCCTACTCCACATACTTGGAAAAGAAATGGAGAGTCCGGATAGCCGGCACCACCTCGACAATTTGCAAAGACTCCCAGCTTGCGAGTCTGACAAAGAACTCAGATCAGCCCTTGGCAACAGGGATGGACACACACAATCAGCCACGCGGCACTTCTTTCGCCATGGACATTGCAGCCTGCGCAGAACCCAAATCCCACCGCTGGGCCCCAGCCGGGTGTGTAAAACGCCCGCGGGCCAAACTAAAATGAACAAGACGTGAAAAGGCTCCAAACCCTGTGGCCTGTACAGAGCCAGACGCGCCGCAGTCACCGCGGCTTGCAAAGAGAATCGTTGCAAAAGGGCCAAAGGGATCTTGCGCAAAGCGAGGAAAAAGAAAAAGAACAAGAAAACAACAAAAAGAACGAACAGATCCGAGATGCTCCACTAACGCCGGGGCCCCGGCCGGGTATTTGAATCACCCGCGGGCCAGAAAAACCGACGGTTTGCTGCAGGTCTAAATGGCAAATTGCAACGACGGCCTAGACAGCAGCAAAAAATACATCGGGGGGATTACGGCCTCTCAGACCCAATGGGCATGCTGGTTTCTGAGGCGATAGACATCGCTGGCAGTCTCCGTTGTGCTTCACAGCACCAACCATGAAATGGCAACTGAGTGGGAAGACTCCCAAAGCTTGGCGGAACAAAGGCAAGTTCCAAACAAACCTGGGGACCTCAAGGGTCAAAACTGACATCTGAGGGTCAACGAATGACCAATGCTGCGCGCGAGCCGATGGCAAGGCTCAATCAAACACAGTAGGCTATCCTACCGCAGGCAGCCCGTTAAACGAACTACTGCCTGGATCACACTTGTGAAATCCCCCCTCTCTCGGTCCTTGTTGTGTCTCATTTCTTCTGCGAGGGTCAGGATCAAGCCCAGTGGGCACACATGCACTTTAATTGATTGAGTGGAGTTTCGTCATCCTTGGGCCCTACTCGTCAGGGCCACAGACTAGACCCAAGGATGGCTGTGGCCTACTCCACATACTTGGAAAAGAAATGGAGAGTCCGGATAGCCGGCACCACCTCGACAATTTGCAAAGACTCCCAGCTTGCGAGTCTGACAAAGAACTCAGATCAGCCCTTGGCAACAGGGATGGACACACACAATCAGCCACGCGGCACTTCTTTCGCCATGGACATTGCAGCCTGCGCAGAACCCAAATCCCACCGCTGGGCCCCAGCCGGGTGTGTAAAACGCCCGCGGGCCAAACTAAAATGAACAAGACGTGAAAAGGCTCCAAACCCTGTGGCCTGTACAGAGCCAGACGCGCCGCAGTCACCGCGGCTTGCAAAGAGAATCGTTGCAAAAGGGCCAAAGGGATCTTGCGCAAAGCGAGGAAAAAGAAAAAGAACAAGAAAACAACAAAAAGAACGAACAGATCCGAGATGCTCCACTAACGCCGGGGCCCCGGCCGGGTATTTGAATCACCCGCGGGCCAGAAAAACCGACGGTTTGCTGCAGGTCTAAATGGCAAATTGCAACGACGGCCTAGACAGCAGCAAAAAATACATCGGGGGGATTACGGCCTCTCAGACCCAATGGGCATGCTGGTTTCTGAGGCGATAGACATCGCTGGCAGTCTCCGTTGTGCTTCACAGCACCAACCATGAAATGGCAACTGAGTGGGAAGACTCCCAAAGCTTGGCGGAACAAAGGCAAGTTCCAAACAAACCTGGGGACCTCAAGGGTCAAAACTGACATCTGAGGGTCAACTGAATGACCAATGCTGCGCGCGAGCCGATGGCAAGGCTCAATCAAACACAGTAGGCTATCCTACCGCAGGCAGCCCGTTAAACGAACTACTGCCTGGATCACACTTGTGAAATCCCCCCTCTCTCGGTCCTTGTTGTGTCTCATTTCTTCTGCGAGGGTCAGGATCAAGCCCAGTGGGCACACATGCACTTTAATTGATTGAGTGGAGTTTCGTCATCCTTGGGCCCTACTCGTCAGGGCCACAGACTAGACCCAAGGATGGCTGTGGCCTACTCCACAAGGATGGTCCTCGACAATTTGCAAAGACTCCCAGCTTGCGAGTCTGACAAAATCAGCCCTTGGCAACAGGGATGGACACACACACACACACACACACACACACACACACACACACACACACACACACACACACACACACACACACACACACACACACACACCCACGCGCGCGCACGCTTACGCACACACACACGCACACGCACATGCCTTTCAGACATGCAAACATAGACATAGATACATACACAGCCACACGCAGGCAGACACAGACACCCACAAACACACACATTTCCAGGTTAGCAAATTACAACGTCTCACCTGGGGGTAATACGAGCTCACCAATGCGTTTGCGAGAGTTGTACACATTTGCGTTTGGTTCCTTCCATTTGCTTAAGAATAGTTTTTATTTTCCCCTTTTGGTTTTAAAGTGAATCTATCACTACTGGAAATATGTTGTTTCATGTTTTCCAGGGGGAGAAAAAGCAAACGGAGGTTTGTCATGTTGCTTGCCGTGCCAGGTGAACTACGAGCTCCGGGACTTCTTCTTTGCCAAGCTGAAGGAGGTTGAACCGGAGGCTTTCAGCGCAGCACGTCTTGCGACACTGAAAAGCAGGGCCCGTGTTTATTTGTTTTTGTGCCTTTATTCAACGCCCAAAGCACCTGAAGTAAAAGCAAATGACAAATATTGCTAATGTTACCCCCGGATTAAGCAGAGCCCTTTTGATTTGGGAGTGTCCCCTTTTAGTGGGGATTCAGACCACTTTTGGAGGGAACACCACCCTAATAAAGGGACGGGTTTATTAATCCTAAGTAAACATTACACTGAAAAGCAGGGCCCAGGTTTATTTCCCTTTAGTCCTGGTGGAAGGGGCGCCTTCCATTTCCATATCCAGGGATCCTTCTAAATAACCTCCGGAAACGGGAAAACGGCCTGTTGAAGAACGATGCTTGAAAAGAAAGGGGATTCAACCTCTAGAATGGAGAATGGAGGATCGGCTTGTTTTTCCAGGGACCCAAAGATCAAATCACATACTCATGTTGCGTGCCATTGACACAGTTTGCCCACGCGCAGATTTGCCGACACGCCTGTGCCGTCTTCATTACTATGTGACTTGGCAGGGCAATTTGTCGAGTTCTCTCCTGAAATTTGAAATTTGACATGGAATCTCAAAAGACCCATTTTTAGAGAAATCTGTTTAAGGCGTCCGCAGTTCCATGCTAGTCTTGCAGGAGGTAGAGAAGTGCTTTTTGAGCGCAGACTCCCACAAGTGCGCAGATTCCCAAAACCCGGCACTCATGGCCTTCACCTGACCTAAGGTACCGGCAAAATGTCAAGACCTCAGTTTACAGATGTGATAGACGGAGCTTCTTGACCCGGGGTGCTTTGGGTCTATCTCCGTTGCACGGTATTTGATTTTTTGTTGGTTTAAAGGGAGATCAACAGAAACCACCATTTGTGTTTTTTTGTTTGCGGGGGGTCCGCAAAACCGACACCCACGTTGTGCCACCCTTCACCGGGTCTTCAAAGGGCTCTTACCATTTGGAGAATCCCGCGATGGGCCAAGATGAAGGTGATGGTCAACTTGCATCTTGAGCCCCAAAGGCCAACTAAGCCTTTCTTCCAGATGGGTCTGTCTTTTCATGGTTGTCGTTGGGAAGCATTTTTTGCTTATGGTGGCTTAGTGGTTGAAATCCAACCACTTAACTGCTAAAATTGTAATGTTTGCTCCCCTTCCAACGTCGACCAAGTTTTCGGCGTACCCGTTTTTTTGGGGTGAGCGGTTTTTGAAGGGAAAGGGGGGTCCACCATTTTGGAGGGGTGCCCCTTTTCGAGACACAGACTTGGGCGGTCGCTCGCGGACCAGTGATGCTTCAGGTGTGGTCCGACGCTCATGTGGTGAACCTAATGAGTGGAAGGCTCAGCTTCAGCCGAGCGAGAGAGAAGCAGAGGCTCCCCTGGAGCCTTCGTCTTTCCCGCGAGTCGGGGAGCCACCTTGGGTGAGGTTGTTTTTCCTTTCATTTGTCAAACTCCTGATTTGTATCCAGATGTTTCTTCCAAGCAAAAGAAACGGGAAAGAAGAAGGAGGGAAATGAGGACAGGTTTGCTGTGAGCCTCTAAAAGAGGCGCTTGGTGTGGTTTCCTCTCGCTTCCCTTCAGAAACCACTGTCCGGTACCAGGCTCTCAGAGCCATCCTGAAGGATGACACGAACAAGGGACAACACGGATACGTTGGAAGAGCCGGTTTACTTAAAACAAATAAATCCCCCCCCCCCAAAAAAAAAAACGAAAAACAAATCCCAAAATAAATCCGCACCCTTACTTAAACCCCTGAATCCTCAAACCAAAAAGAAGCTGCAAGGGTCTCAGCATAGCCTGTGGTTGGTTCCAATGGCCTTTGATTTATCCGATCTTCGCTGGATCGGGCCGCCAGCGAAGGCTCTGGGTTGCTTCACCCGGACCTGAAGGTGGCTGCGGTCGGGGCGCCACAGACTCGAAAAGAAAGAGGCAGGTTTGAGTCATTCGTGGGTTGCGGCCCGCTTGCGCAAAGCGGGACCTTTGGACCATTTGGTTCCCTTGGTCCATTTCTAGGTCCCCTAGTGCCCTTCTCGGTTGGGAGGGTTCCCCCACTAAAATAGACTACAGAAAAGGGTACCCTTACTACTGGATGGCCTAGATTTAGTCTTGGCCCCAACCTTTGGTCTCTGCGTCCTTGGGCAACTGAGGCGTTGCGAACAGGGGACGCCTTTCAATGCTCGTTTGAGCAAACTGAATGAGAACCAACAAGTTTGGAGGATGCTCCCAATCCAAAAGCACCCAATTGAGGTGTTGCTGGAATGCTGAAGTCTTTCCTTTTTTAATCGTGTATTGATTGCTAAGACTTTAAGAGGAGAATCTCTCCACGACAGAAAACTTGGAACTACGACAGGGGTTTTGCAGGATGTGGGAACAGAACTTCGTCTCAGGTCAGGCAGGATGTGGGAACAGCGTCTCAGGAAGAGGGTCTCCTCCTTTCTTCTTCCTTCTGCCCCCTTCTGCCCCCCTGCTTTCTTCTTTCGCCTCCTTTCTTCTGCCTCCTTTCTTCTTCCTCCTCCTTTTTCCCCCCTCTGCCTCCTTTCTTTTTCCTCCTTTCTTTGAAGCTTTCCCATCCATCCTGCACTTGTCCATTCTAGAGCCCTGCGAAGAGTCTGGGTGGCTGGTGTCGTGGCGCCACCCGCTGAGCATGCGGGAGGCCTCGGGCTCAATGCAATCAAGGCCAAAGTCTGTTGCTTTCTTTCCTTTGCGGGCTTGTCCTTCTCTGAGCCTCCAAGCCTGTTTTTTGTTTCGTGTTTGAAACTCTCATGTCGTGGGCGTGATTAGGGTCCCATCATGGTTCCAGGAGGGTTGTGTCAGGGTTCCTTGTGGCTGCCCTTGCCGTGGTGCGACCGCAC